TTTTTCAAATACTATACGAAGAAAAGCAATTTAAATTTAGGAGCAAATATAGCAGTAAAAACTATTGACACAAAGTAGGCATCTTTTCACTCCATTCGACACAATCAGAAATGTTTTTCTCTCGATCGAATTCATTTAAGTTTATTTTTGTCCTATTTTCCTTTATCATGTCTTCTTATGTGCACTGTCATACCAAACCATTTGGTATAAAAGAACATTTTATTCGCCTTTTCAAGCGTTCGTAATGGTTTATTTTGTCGTTCAATGACCAAATATGTCAATAAACAATGTCAAATAACATTGTTAATTATTGGAATAAATTCTGGTTCCGAACATTTACCTTTTTTTGAAAATATTATTCAGGAGACCAAGTGTTAAGTGGTGCACCTAACTTGTATTAAGTGGCACAAATCCGACGACATAAAATAGCTTTTAAAAGCTCGAGCTTTTATTAAACACACCTCTGAAGTGGTTGTAAATCGTTTATTATTAAGCCACCGTGTAGTGTGGCACAAGAGGTCCTTCAATGGTAGATTATGGGTTACATTGTTAAGCCCCCTTTTAAATGTCAGCCCATTATAACGAGGAGCAAAGGATTTGGGAGATTATAAAAAAAATTTAGATCTTTATTATAGTTCGAGGACCATGTTCATTTTCAGTTGTTCTCATTCGGTATTGGCATGTACATGCAAAGGCCGAGCAAGAAAAACGGCAAAACAGCCCAAATGCCATTGAATGTTTCATAAAAGAACTGATGAATAGATTTTATTTAAATCATCAAATTCATCTTGAAAATAATGAGTCAATCTCAATTTTTAAAGGTTAGTAATTGAATAATAAAGCTAAAGCATTTGCTTTTAGTCATTTCCAATAAAGTTTGCTTAATTTAAAAATAAATATTCCCGCTTAATTTATCAATCTATTTCATCCAGAACAGAAGCATCCCCTTCGGTTTGTAGATAGAGAGAAAATGTGAGCAAGGGAAGGCCGAGCCCCCCATCGAAAAAGGAAGTCAATAACAGTTAAAGAGACAGATCGTTTTGAAAAGTTATTATATCCGGAGCAATGATGATGGGCTTGAATACTGCCAGGACAATGCACTAGTTAGTGGATCATTTATCTATGAAAAATTGGGAAGAACCTCGGGATTTCGGGTGATAAATGCCTGGAATTATGGGGCCATTGTTAAGGACGACCGATTTCATTATTTATGAAACGCGGAAGACGTGTATTTTTGGTCGGTTTACTGGATTTACAACATTATCTTGTGGGAAATTGATTTTGCCGCATGAGCCATGACGGTTATCTTCTTTTGATAAATTCAGTTTTTTATTGTATAATTGGTGTTATTGTCACTGGCTTGTATAGATAGTACAACTGCGAACGTTATATGTCATGATTTTCTCGTTGTTATCAATTTCTCATTTATATTAACTGGCTTGGAAGTTAAAGCTCTTCTTTAAATGGCTCAAGATGTGTCAATCAAACTTGTATTTTTCACTGTTTTTTGAAATTCCATCCTTTCGTTTCTTCTCTTTCAGTTTTCCTCCTTCTTCAGGAACCCGGCGGATTCGCGTAAAATAAGGTAGCGTTTGCGCGCTGTTATATTTGAGTTTTCTAGTTTGAAATTTATTTTATTTGCTAACAAACATTTTTGCCCGTAAGATTCAATTTCCTAGTTTTTTTCCAAAGCATCACTACTGTTTCCAAGCGCTACCTTTTCTGATTTATTCTGCTCCCAAACTGTCGTTTTTACGTGAATTTAAGAAAATATTCGTCGATAATCTTGAAAATGCTTTGGCGACATTTTCTTGGCCAGAATCAAAAGTTTTTGAGCGCATACACAAATATTGTAATAATTTAAGCAAAATAAATATTTGAAGTCATCACTTCTTGGGTTTCCTGCTTTAATTAAGTTTTTGCGGCAAATATTTTGTTATTAGTTTTCAGTTTATCTGTTCGCAATGTTTCGTTTGTTACTTATTAAAAATTATATGCAACAAATGGTTCCCATGCATTTATTTTTTTGGTTACTTCTTTATTTGCCAAATCAATACAATATTTTCATACTCCTTTTG